ATTCACAGAACTCTGGTCAAACCTCTGTTGGAAGAACAGCAGTAACTCCTCCCACTTGACTCGCATCTTCGACACTCATTACTTGTGTCTCCTCCCTGCGTTTTACAGCAGGTACACTGTGTTGACTGTGCTTCACGACAATAGACTCGTCACACTGAGATCCACCCAACTGCACGCAACTCTGCTCAATACTCTTGCCTCCCTCGAGATACTCAGATTGTAAATCCATAATCTCGTCCAAAATTGATGCAGACGTGCTTGCAGCAGAATCGTCTGTGTCACCTGACTGCTTCGAGTCGCTACTAGCCTCGTTGCCAAAATGGAGAGACTCCAAATCTTCATCATACACAGCTTCATGTCGTTCCCGGTACATTACATCCTCACAAATACGTAAGTCGGTCACCAATTTCGCTGTATGCTCCTCGGGAAAGTAGATTTTGCACCTCACAACGTTCTTTGAGTAGCCGAGAGCAAATCCCAACTTAACGTTGTCATCGTGCTTGCGTCTGCTAGGTGATACAGGAGCATGCACATTCGCCGCCGCTCCAAATTTCCTGATATGATGAATATCTGGCTTGACGCCAAACAACTTCTCATACGGAATCCCCTAAATGTCTTTATTGTACACTCTGTTCTTCACGTAGACTGCATTTCGTAGTGCTTCAGGCCACAGACTCTTTGGGAATCTTGCGTCCTTCATAGTTGCTTTAGTCATCCCATGAGCGACTGATGTGTTCGCTCACACAAGTTTAGCTGAGAGCCCTTCGGTCTAACAAGAATGTGATCAATACCTTGTGTTTTGTACCAGTCATCCATCTCGTTTGACACAAACTGTTCACCTTTGTCTGTGACTACTTGCCGAACTTGGTGCGTCACCTTATTCTCTTCGCCCACTGAGTTACGTCTAGCTTGTCTTTCAGCCCACAATATATACTTCTTAATGTGCTGGCTGATGACATCGCTCGATTTGCTCGTCAATGGTTGCACAGTCACAAACCGTGAAAACCCGTCCATGATCAGTAGCACTGCTTGAAAACGTGTGTCATTTCATTTGCTAGGTATCAGGAGATCAACGTAAACGACTTGATTTGGAACTTTCAGTCCTCGATCAATTTTCTTCTGGTAAGGTTTTCTCTTCTGCTTACCATAGTGACATACCTCACAGTCCTGAGTCACCATCATGCCATTTACTAAGTTGTTGTCCGCCATAGTCTTCACATACGGTGGACATATGTGACCCAATCGCTCGTGCCATAGTTCTAGCGAAGCGACACCCTCAGTTGTCATAAAGCTACCAACAAGACCAACTGATGCCACAGTGTGATTGTAAACACGACGATCTTGTGAAACTTCAATTACTCCACCAGGAGGATGACTAACATAGAATCCCCGAGTACCATCTTGCAGCGTAGTCACTACAACCGTTCTGTCTTTCTTTCTTACTCGAAAACATCTCACTTGTCGATAGTAGTCTACATCAAAGCCTTGTTCTTCAGCTAGTCCCATCGAAAAGCGTCCATGTGGAGCCCCGCACACATAGAAGACATCGTTAATCCGAACAATGGTCTGTTTTCCATCGACATCCGTGACTAACTCTACAGTACCAACTCCGGCAATCTTTGAAGCCAGATCTGGTGCTACTCCACGCATGTATTGTGACTGGTTTGGGTCTTCAGTGAACAACACGAAATATCATGGGTTTCCAATGACATGAACATTTGCGGCTGTGTCAAAATACCACCAACCACTGCTCGTATCAACCTCACTTTCATCATGTTCAAGTCCATCATGCATCCAGTCAACATGCTTATCAGTTCTGACAGTATCCTGTACTCGCTCAAGTTGCTGTTCCAATCGATCGTCTTCACTAACTTCCGGTTGCAACTCTGCATCCATTTGTGTCGAATCGGGATCTCCTGTCACCTCTCCTAATGGTTCCACCTTATTATCTGAGTCTGGTGACACGCTGACAGCCAAGTGATTTGCAGCTGCACGCGTTTTCCGCTTTAACTGACTCGCAGTAGCTCCACCCTCGTTCTTCACTCGATCCGGACAATCAGCTTTTAGATGATCCGCGCTTTGACAAATGAAACACTACCTCATCTTTTTCTTCTTGGAGTTGTTGCTCTTCTCACCTTTCTGATGCTCTGCACTATCGTCAAATTTCTGCTTACTTCCACTGCCTCTATTCTTATGCTCCACTCGGCCACTCTTGACTTGGTAAGCTCTCTGGCGCGAGACCGCAACACGAATCTGTTCACGAGCACGTTCAGGAGTAATGACAGTATCCGCACTGTTATAACGAATACCACTTTTCAAACTCTCAAACTCGTACTGACGAGGCAGGCTGTTCAACATCCACCCGACCATAGTAGTATCATCAAACTGGTAATTCAACGAAAGCAACTCTGTCCGCAAATTAAATATTTTGCTCAAATGTTTATTTATATCTCCACTTGAAGACAACTTCATCATCGACAGCTCATGTCTGATGCTCTCTGCGCGATGTTCCATGGTAGTTTGGTTCTCCGTACTCTCGAATATCACGCATAAAGCCTTCCACATGTCTGTTCCCATTGCCTTGCTCCTAATCTGGTGAAAGATGTCCCCTGGCAACGACATTCCGATAAGCTGCATGATAGACAATTGTTGATCATCAAACTCTTCCTCGCGTTCAGCAGTCGAGCGCGAATCCCTCTTCATACTTCCGTCCACGATACGCTTGCACTTCTTCTTCCTGAATACAATCTCCATCGCCCACTTATACTGCTGCCAGTCTTTTCCGTCCCAATTCTTCGGGCCTCCATCGCTGATGTACTTCAGCGGCTCTCCCATCTTGGACCACTCGCACAGTTCAAAATCCCGTAGTTATTTGGGCTCAGAACCCTATTAGAAGTTGAACTCGATCCGTAGGAAGACTTGCTCACCAACGTGGAAAAGGAAAAGTAAGTTAGATTTGATGCTTAAGACGGCTTCACTAACTCTAACCATCATTCGCAGGCTGTTGCCTGTGTCTCATGCATCGACCGGCAATTGGTAACTTCCTCCAAGTTTGTCATACCTCTGGTACGGGTCCCAGATCTGATACTCGACCTCTCGCTACCTCACGGTCTCCGATATGTATTCCAACAGACCCCACCTACGCGAACGAAGTCGTGAGCTCGTCAGTCCAGCGGCTCGTCTAGAATGCCGTTAGCGACGCACCATGCTCTCGCTGCCTGCGCCTCTAGATCATTGTTTACCGGGATTGACTGAGTTGTTTGACTAGTGGAGTACTGCTGGCAGACTATTCTCACTATCTGCATCTGAAGACTGATGCTGGCGCTTGCCGAAGAAGGCGGTGATCATCGTCGTTTAAGCCGCTTTGGGGTCATCTTGAAGGTTGATTATATTAAAACGACCGAGTGTGCATGCCTAACCGTCGAGCCCCCCCCTCTGTATTTTTAGCTGCCTCCGCCCCTGAAGCCGCTTCTTCAATGCTAGCGAGCGTGCCTATCCAGATGTAGCCGCACAAGGCGCAGGCTTCCTCGCTAAATGAATGACCGTATGCCGTCAGTATCAGGGACATCAGCGTCCACACCAGTGCTTGGCGCTATGGCGACGCCAAGGAACGAACTGCGGTTAAATGCTTACCAGAACACATTAACCACGCCATGCATGGCACGAAATGAAAAAATCATTTTGGCCATCTATTTCTAGGGTTGAGGTTAATCCTTTCGCGAGGCACTAGGTTAACAATATCAAACAAATGTGCCGAGAGCCGCCTGCTTTTAGCTTTTCTCGACCAAAGCACAACTCTAAATATACTTTGTATCTCTTTCATATAAACTCGACGTCATTGCAACAAATTGTGGGCTGAAAAGCTTACATGTAAAATGAAGAGTGTCTGATGCAGATATATCGATTTTGTATTTGACAAATGCATTTGAATTTATAGCTATACTTATTATTAATAATTATCGCAAAGAGCGCTAAAAACTGTTTGGACATCCACAGTTACTCTTTATAGAAACATCAATTTGGTCGCTAAAAACTGTTTGGACATCCACAGTTGCTCTTTAGCAGTACATCGCGCTACGAAGATGCGGATTCGATTACTCGTCCAGTACAGTACACCGATTGCCGTTTACATCATTGAGCTCAACTTCAGTGATTCTGATCAGTAAAGCTACCAGGAAACGCTAGATCTGGGTGCTCATCTAGCGCTGCCCGACGCAGAAATTTATTTGTGTCAGAAGTAGTAGCTCTTTAGAGAATTGAGACACCCTTGGTAGCTAGCAATCGGAAACGAAGCAACGTTGCAGAGCATGGCTGCTAGCCTTACCTATTGGGCCGCAAAAAGCATACACGCTGTTGTCCGTCGGGTCTTGCAGCTCGCTGACTTTAACCCTTGTGTTTGTGAGCAGAACTTTGAGCCGCGGTTTATCTACTATGCATGCAAATGTCTTTTGCGTAAATTGTATGGCGAAATTCTGATTTGCTTCTTCAATCTCACTCCAGTGGAGCTGCCGAGCTGATCAGCCCTTATTTTTTATTAATTATTACAGCTACTTTGCTTGTAGTTGCTATCGAGATCTAACAGTCTACGATTGAGATATTCAAGGTGTATTAGATTTCGAGGTCATTGCGCCTTTCAGGTATTTCTACATTTTTACTATGTAATAGAGAATTAAGATCGCATACTTAAAAAAAAAAACTCACAGAATTCTGTAATCTTGTAAAAGTACTTTTCCCGTCCTGACCAAAAATCGTAACAGAAATCTCAAAGCTGCAGCTTTGTCTATCAGAGCGAAACAAGTTACTCAGAATGACGATGATTTTCGTCATTTTACGATCATCGAATCGATGGCAAGAAACCACGTGACTGCTCCGGCATGACGCGTGGTTAGTTACCAATGTTAAGTTTTGATTCACTCGACAGCTCGAGAGTTATCGTCCAACCAAGAGATAAGAGTTCGACTCAATATAAAAGGATCATGTTAAAACAGTGCTGTGTTTGGTTATAGAAGACACTCGAACCACTTGACAGGCATCTTTGCCTTATTCCAGAACGCGTCTCCAGCTCGGAATTGCATGTCGTAATGATTCAACTTGGTCCGATAGAAGCGACTTTTATATGTTTTCTGAAAGTCCGACACGTCAAGTCCCATGGCGCAGCTCTGGAATTCCACAGTGCCGTCATTTTTGCTCGACTTGTGTGGGATCATCTCGCCCAGTAGCCAAAAACTGGCTTGATACGACGATAAGATTCCAGAATAACTCTCGCTGCACATGACCGCAGACACATGTGTCCGATAGACTTCTTGAACAACCTGGTAAGCCTTATTGAGTCTTGGCGAGCTGTACGATCCATTCATATACGCCAATGATTTAGTGGCTTGCTGTACCGGACATTGATCTTTGAACTGGGCAAGCTTTTCAGCTATCAGATTGGTGTCCCCAGCGCAAACTTCCTGGGCGTAATCGGAGCCCATACTTCCGATCATTGGCGCTGCTGAACTTACCCACGTTGAACTTGAGTCAAGCTTACATCTCCCGCTAGCGATAGCGCCAGCAAGCATGAGAGCCCCCATGGAGTGGGTGACGACAATAGTGTCTTTAATAACATGTTTGGTACTGCTGTTGCTTACTGCCAGAGCGCGATCGCACACTTGTTGCTGCTGAGTTCCGTTGAGCCACGTGTAGTTCACTGTATTCAAGTGTGCGAACTTGATCGACGTACAACATGGAGCATGATCTTGGATAGTTTTCCCCCAGTATGGCAACGAGTCTTCAAGTGCCAAATTTTCAGCTTTTACGCCAAGACCATGAATGAAGATACACGGACGGGGTGTCGACTTACACGAGCAGGATTCGTCGTTATCGTCGTCATTCGACCGTAGAGACAGCTCTGGGTTTAAGTTGCGTACCTCTTCGAAAGGTACCTCTGTCCCAGTCAGTAGAGCTCTTCCGATTGACGACACTGAGCTCGAGACCTCTTCAGCTTCGCAGTCCTCATCACTCCTTGGTGCCACGATTTTTACTCGATGTTTGCGATATCGAACGGTAATATCCATATCACTCCCATACAGCTCCAAACCGTTGGGTGACGCACATAAAATGAAGTTGAGATCGTCCGCCTTCACTTTGAACAGCGTACCGCTACACTTGATCGACTTTTTGGTCTTTGACAAGGGCGTGGCTTCGCTGAGAGCTGAGATAATGGCGTTGATTGGTGGGAAATCGTTCATATCGGACGGCAGACACTTTGTCGTTGTGTCCTCCTCCGTCGTTTGCAAATATGGAACACCGTCCACTCGTGTGTAGTTGTACACTGCGATGCCACTGTTAAACGTTGCGAAGACGTCATAGAGGACACTGGTTTCGTCAGTAGACACGACAGGGTTAGCGTACAAGGAGAAGTCTTTGTGTCCGTAGATGTCCATGCAGTTGCGCTTAATTTTGAAATGGAAGCGCAGCGACGGCCACGTCGAAGACACGACATCGCGAAGGTGTCGCTGGTGGAGGAGACTGGTACTCTGCGCCACAGCGCCCGGTTGCGCGGCGAGTACAACGAGCGTCGCGAGAACCCCCGACAAGTACAGGAGAACCGACATGCAATTCACGCGGAGGGTTTGATGAAAATCAAGAAATGGTCTGGGGCTTGCAAACAACTGGCGAAAGTCATGGACGGTGCAGCACCGGCAGGATCACGGCTACAACGAACGGCCATGTACAGCAACTGCCACCGACGCCAAGACGGCGTCCGGGGTGACCACGACGCCGTCTCTCTTGTGGACCGTCAGTGATCAAGTTGCAAGCCATCATGCTTTGATTTGAAGGAGAAACTTCGCCGGTGTTTGTATTAATAGGGAGAAGCCCTACTAGGTAAAGTTCAGAATCTGTGACTACTGCCACAAAGCCTCTGTGGCATTCTGATCCGTTTAAAAGAAAAACACAATCTCCGACCAGCCCCGATTCCGGATGTTACGGCGCATAAGGATTTGCACAAACCATCTTGATTAGTATTGCCCCAAATACTTATACAGTAGCTACAGTATGGGGGCTCCAGGTTGTTAAAATAAGGACATTTGATTTTTTTGTGGAAAAAGTGAAATATTACTTGAGATGCAAATATTTATGAGCTTACGAAAAAAGTTTAAGAAATGTTTTATCTTACTGTTGGGACCGATAAGCAATAAAAGAATAGTCCAAAGTGCAGCCGAGAGAGACGACGACTGCTTGCTTCATGCGCATCGAGAAAAGAAGCCACGAGCTGTTGCAGCATGTACAGCCAAGACAAGTGGGTTCAAACGAAAGCGACAAGAATCGCTATTGGGCCAACTTGCTGATTATTCTGGAGAAGGTGGCGTAGACGAGTGACCAGCTGTGGGTATTACGACCCTGTGGTTTGTACCACTGCTGCGGATCCAACCGGTTCTTCCTAGCAACATTCACGCAACACTTATTACAGAACGTACGCCAAATTTTGTACACTCTGTGTACTATCGACTCAGGGTAACTATCGCGCAATTAAGTGGAGGCACACCGCCAATGTAATAAAATTGGTTAGGCTGTTCAGCCAGCTAAAGTAAAGCTGTCCTCTCCGTATCAATAGCAGCAGCTATATAATATATCGCTGCCGATATCTTACTGTAGTTTCTTACTTTTTAATACATGTTATGCAATGTGGAAGCGTAAGAAACGCGCTATCAACCTCTGTAACGGGCCTGGGGTGTCCGCTACTTGCTTACACGTAGTGATGAGGAAGCGTACAAGTCCAGTGATACTGAAACCAAGTACTTAGTCTGAAGGAAAATCAACTCAGTTTTATTTAGGTCCAGGGCAGCTTGATCTGACCACTCAAATACACGTCAACTCCTTATTGGTTGATTATGGGTCTGGCTCCCCATATTTCAACTAATAAGGTGACGGCAGTTCAGCACACGCTACTCGTGTGCTGCTGCACCTACTTTTGTAATGCAAATCTACCTACTTATGTAATGGTGTGAACCACTACAAAGAACCTATAAAACTACCTACATATGTAACTTAGGAGAGCCCATTACATCACTCTTATCACCTAACGGGGGTGCGCTTCGGAGAACAATCGGGAAAAACTGGGAAATGGCGGAGAAGAGAACGCTTAAGAACTTGACGGGCGGGAGCTCCTGCGAAGCCCAGGAGCAGTACAATACAACTTGCGCGGACGAGAACAACATGGCGCAGCAGACGGGGGCGGCGAACCAGACAGGAAGCGGAACAACGCGGACGGCTCCAGCGTCGGCGACGACGCTGAACAGTGGGTGGACCGCTGATATCGCACCTGAGAGCGTGAGTCGACTTGGGGTTCGGCCCGGCGTAATGAACGAGGATATGAAGCCGTGGGCGCTGTACGACTTGTCCGGGGCTGTGACCTTGGACGCGTTGGACACCATGCAGGACCACTTTCGGCGCTTCAGGCGTCTCCGGAACAAAACACTCGACGGCGCGACGTACGAAGCTTTGCAGAGATCATGGTGCGCATTCATCCGACGGTGGAATCGGATGCATGAGGCTGGAGAAAGTGTCGTCGGCTGGCTCGGTGATCGCGAAGCCCTACAAGCCGAGCATTCACTCGGTGATCTGCGCCTGAAAGTCTGCGACGACGCTTGGACCGAAGACCGTTTGTGCTATGTCAACGTACGCGAAGGTTGCAGTTCGTGTGACATCGGGCGACGCCCGACGCAAGCTGAGTGGGATCAGCATATTGTCGAGTATCCGCTCAAGCCGACCGAACACGCTTGGATCGAGAAGTATAAGCGCTCACTCTCCGAGTTCACCCAAGCGGCTATTCGCGGCGGCTCGCGCCGACAGCGTTCGCGACGGAGCCCGTCTCCTGCGCATTCGACGTCTCGAAGGGCACGTAGTCGATCGCGTTCTCGATCGCCGCGAGGTCGCTCGCGGCCGCGTTCGACTCGAGGCTGGAGTCGTAGTCGATGACGACATCAGGAACGGCACGAAGCAAGTTGGCGCGAGGCTCCCACGTATCATCAGCAGGTTAAACCCGAGCCATCGTACCTTATACTTCTGCGCGGCGGGAGCCGCGTGTTGAGCCGACGACTTGGTCGAGTGACGCACGCGGGGATGATCTTCGTGATCAACAATACGGTCCACAATCCAGCACGTATCTCCATTCGAGTCAACGATGGGCGGAGGACCGTCGCGGTGGAATTCGACGCGACCTGGTTGACCAGGACGACGTTGAGCAGGCGCTGAACACTTCTCGGGACACACAGGAGGAGGCCGAGCGGGCGGCTGAGAGCTCTCGGAACGCCGAGGCGACGGCGAGTAGTCTGCGGCAGTCGAATCGTGAACTCTTGCAGCGACTGCGTAGTCTGGAGGCGCAGGTGTTTGGCGGACCGAGGAGTGGGTCTTTTCCGCGCGAGCGGGGAACTGGGACAGATGGGACGCTGGCTCGACAGGCTCGTCGTGAGGGCCGCTCAACGCATGCTCCTGTCCCGCCTCCGGGATCATCGCGGGAAGATACTTCTTAAGTCGCCCGACGTAGAACGTCGGGTGTAGTCGTAGCGACGTAGGAATGTCTAGCGTGTAGGCATCACCCATAACTCGTAGTACTTTGAATGGCCCAATGTAGCGCGGCGCGAGTTTGCTCGCGCCTAGGTTCGTAATAGCAGAGGTACGAATTCAATCCGTTGAGAGTAATACCCGCTCACCAATCTTGAATGCACTTGTGTTCTTGCGGCCACGTTTGTCAGCGTTTTCCTTCTGCTTGTCAACCGCGAGTTGTAGCGCGTCACGGACGAATCGGGTAACCGATTGGCGATGAAGGACAAAGTCGGATACCGCTGCCTTGTCAGCGGGTCGCGCTGGGGGTTTCGGCGCGTAGTTAGCCACAGTCGAGTGGGGCTGTGCTGGAGCGTTCAGCGTTCGGTGTGTCCAGTCAACTAACGGCGACGACGTGGATTGCGCGGGTGCGAGGATCTTCTTCGACTGTAAACGCGTCACCGCGTTGATGTCTGCTGCAGGAGTAGCTGAACTCGTAGACGGCAGAACCGTTGTCTCACCGGAAACCGGTGGTTGAACCAGTATCGGAACCGGTTGGGCAGGGTTATCACATTCCTCCCCCTTCAGAGTGAAGCCATCAGTCGCCGTGGGTTGGCCCACAGCAAGTTGTGCGGGGACACGTGGATGACGCGCGTTGTTGACGAAAAACGGAGTCAATCCCGTCGACGCGTGCTCGGCATTGTTGAGTGCAAACTCCGCAAGAGGCAGGAAGGAACTCCAATTCTCGAAGGACGGGGCATAACTGCGCAGAACATCTTCTAGCATGCGGTTGACGCGTTCCGTTTGCCCGTCAGTCTCCGGGTGCGCCGCCGTCGACATGAGGAGTTTGGTGCCCAGGAGGTCGAAGAGTTTCGTCCAGAACGCCGATGTGAATCGGGGATCGCGGTCAGAGACGATTGATTCAGGAAGGCCGTGATGTCGGAAGACAGCGTCGACGAAGAGCACCGCGGTATCGGCCGCGGTGATTGAGTCCGGAACCGGAACGAGATGGCACATCTTGCTAAAGCGATCCACGAAGACCAGAACACCAGTACGACCGTCAGTATCGGGTGGGAGACCGAATATGAGGTCCATTGACACAGAGCGCCACGCCTCTGTTGCCAGAGGGAGAGAACGCAGCGGAGCTTGCGATGACGGTGACGGCTTAACGCGTTGACAAGTTTCGCAGGAGCGGACCCACTTGCGCACCCACTTGTAAAGGTGAGGCCAGTAGAAGTCGCGGGATACCGCTGCGAAAGTCTTCCAAGTGGCCACCCACTGGAGCGTCATGGAATTCGTGTATAATTCTTGCGCGTAGATCGGGGTCGTTGGGGACAACGACGCGAGGAGCATCGAATCGATCGATACTGTACATCAGTAGATCACCGTCAAGTTGGTATCTGTGAATCTAGTCGCGCGTGGAGCGGCTCAGTGTCTTTAGCGTGGCATCACTTGATGTGCGAAGGTGCTCCAGGATACCGGCATATATCGAGTCATCTCGATACGCGGCAGAGATCTCTTCCCGCAGGGGAAGTATTGGAGATA